GCACACCAAAATGTCGCCCCTGTTATAATGTGAATAACTTTTTTCAGTTCAGAACAATTTGAATTTGGTTCACACTGTTCGATAGCCCAGTCCTTCAGCTATAATCTCGTACTTCATTGAAACATAAGGGTATTCACATAAAATCTCTACATGGTGTTTTCCGACACTGTGCAAAATTTCGGAATATTCAAAAGGCTCTCAAATGGTGAAAAATATTTTTTTCTCAACTTCGACAACAGAGGCATAAAGATGATCTCATTACCTCGAGATGTTTCGCGAATCAACTTCCTATCTCTCTTATTTACAGAGTGATCTCAAAAAATCAACTTTTTGGTTTTGCAGTCATAACTTTTTTCCACGTCAACCGATTTCAGAACTCTTAGGCTCATTTTGAAGATAAAACTTCAGATGAAGAGATCTGAATATCAAAATTGACCCAAGATGGCTATCAGAGATCTAGAGTTTCCTTGAAAGTGACCCAAATCTGGAACGCCCTCCGAATCTCGATTGGGAGGAGAATTAAATGAAAATCAACTTGTTCTCGGAAAAACAATTCATTCTGGATGCGTCCATATTTTCCTCGCTCTCAGTAGTCAAGAAAGTGCGTGAGAAAACACAATTGAAACATGTTCTTGCAGAAACACCAGATCATTTCTCCTCTGTAATGCATGGCCCGTAACCAACGTTACAAGAATCACAGTAAGTGACTGACAAGTCAGGTTAGACGTCGTTTTCGAATCATAAACAGATTTCGATAGTTTCGATGCCGCATCTAACGCGAATGTGGGTGACAACTTTGTTCTCGTTGATGACAATGCGAGACCGCATAGGGTTGTTGGTACATCATTTATGATGAGCCTTAGCTGGTCGGGTTTGTCAGTCCATTGTGATTCTTGTAACGTTGGTTACGGGCCATGCATTACAGATGAGAAATGGTCTGATGTTTTTGCAAGAACATGTTTCAATTGTGTTTTCTCACGCACAATTCTTGACTACTGAGAGCGAGGAAAATATGGACGCATCCAGAATGAATTGTTTTTCCGAGAACAAGTTGATTTTCATTCAATTCTCCCAACCGAGATTCGGAGGGCGTTCCAGATTTGGGTTACTTTCAAGAAAACTCAAGATCTCTGATAGCCATCTTGAGTCAATTCTGATATTCAGATCTCTTCATCTGAAGTTTTATCTTCAAAATGAGCCCAAGATTTCTAAAATCGGTTGACGTGGAAAAAAGTTATGGCTGCATAACCAAAAAGTTGATTTTTTGAGATCACTCTGTAAATAAGAGAGATAGGAAGTTGATTCGCGAAACATCTCGAGGTAATGAGATCATCTTTATGCCTCTGTTGTCGAAGTTGAGAAAAGAAGTATTATCACCATTTGAGAGCTTTTTGAATATTCCGAAATTTTGCACAGTGTCGGAAAACACCATGTAGAGATTTTATGTGAATACCCTTATGTTTCAATGAAATACGAGATTATAGCTGAAGGACTGGGCTATCGAACAGTGTGAACCAAATTCAAATTGTTCTAAACTGAAAAAAGTTATTCACATTATAACAGGGGCGACATTTTGGTGTGCGACGAAATTAGTGTTGAGTAGTTTAGTTGCCTGACGGATTGTTGTGCCGTTTTTCGTGCTCGAGTCTACTTCAACCTCTTCAAATCTGCATCGCTCGACATAAATCGCGAGAACGAATTGCATGAAGAAGGGTTGGCACATCTTGAAATGGTTAACGCTTATTTAGATCCTGGCCAGGATAAATCACAGCGTGCTTTGGAATAGGTACTGGTGAAAATTTGAACGACGCTCTAAAGTCTTCCAATATTTTTATGTCATATCAATACGAACGCAAGTGAGCTGTGACGTCCGTGTGTTCTTGTTGTCAGGTCTCTAGCTCCGGTTTTAGGTTGGATTGAAAGAAAATTGGTTTATTCGACCCCTAAGGATTTATTGTGGTTCACATCAATTCATATTTCACCAAGAAGATTCATACGGAGAACGGGACATAATAATAATAATAATAATAATAATAATGAACATGAGATCATCATTAGAATTTGTCACCTCGAGTAATTGATCTATCGATCTAAAATATGTCCAGTATTGCAGAGTTGCCGCTTATACCAGAAAGAAGCAGCATCTTTGATATTTCAAATAGGACACCCTGTATATTAATGCATTTTTCAACTTATCATCACTTACTGATTATTTCTGTCTCATACTATCCTATATCTATCTCTAACAGTTTTTGAGATATTGATTATTTTGAATATTTTTTATCCAAAACATAGGTTAATTTGATGTTTATTTCTGCGGTATTTGATGGATTCTTAGGAAGTTGCAATTTTGTGTTTAGTTCATCAAGATCATGTATATTATTATTGATTCTGTAGAGAGAAGTTTGTTGCAAAGGAGACTAGGCTGGTTGATACATCTGTCCTTGAGTTGCAACCGAATAAATCTGCACCAGACCTTGAGGGTGTTTTTGGACCATCTCAGTAGTTCTTCCTTTTGGAGGAACCAAAGTCATTCCTATTCGGAATTAGGACGGTCATACCGTATCTGTTGAACGCTTAATGTCGGAGGTCATTTCCAGAGTGCTGTGGCTTTCTGTATATCTATCAATACATTGCTGCGCTATAAGCGTCTAGCTAAAGACGAATAACCTTCTGATAACCTAAAGACTTATTAGGTAATATGAGGAAGGAAAATATATCTTTTGCATGAAGAAGAAAAGTACTCTCAACCTTACTTGTCACAAATTGACCTTTTACCTGAAAAGTATATTTAAAAAAAATCAATTGAGTGAAAAAAATTGAAGAAAAATTTGACGCCTCGCAGGGATTGAACCCCCGTCACTACATTGGACGTCAGAAACACAGACTACTAAGCTATCGCTTCACTCGTAGTAGTTCTAGTTTCTCAATATAAAGAAGAAAGAAATATCATGTGTCGTTGTTGACGTCACTTGACCTCGATGTTTGAAGATTTGCTAGTCTACCTAGATACTTGTCGCTACACTCTGTCTGATTCGTGCAATTTGCGATATGTACAATTGAGCTCTTTTCTACCGTGAACGAGAGAGAGGAGAGTTCTCTCCTCTTCTATCTTTCTCTTCAATGCTATCAACGTGGCCGCATTGAAATATTGAGAGGTCCGATGAAGCTTTCCTTGTCTAAAATCTAGTTTGTGCCACTGAACAAGTTTTGAAATCAACAGAGTGTCAAGTTAACGATATCAACAAAAGATGTCAGAATAAGTATGATATGCGGGTCGATTCTGTTCGGATCTTGTTATAACATTGCTAAGATAATAATATTGTTATGATCATAACATATAACAATATTGCTATAAAGTTCTGTATTCTATTTACAGAGTAACTGCAAGACTGGTTATAAGTTCAAGTGATAGCAATATTGTTGAAAAATTGAAAATTTTTGAGCTGACAACACTGTTTTCAACTTATTGTTTAAGTGTTAGGTATCGATTTTGCCATTATTTCATGAAGAAGAAGAGTTCATGATTATCTAACCTCTCAAATTAGTCAGTCCTGCACTGACATTTCACAAAATTATATTGTTTAAATCGAGAGATTTTGTATTTGCTAAATCTGGTCGTCGTTGTGCGACTGGTGCAAGTAATCAATCATGTCCCCGAAATGAGAAAACAACTAAATACCGGATGAAACAAATCGTAATTTTTTTTTTAAATATCCTAGAAGAATAGCTTGATAAACTATCCATGAGGCAACTGAAATTTCTCTGATATGCCGAGATTGTAGTCTCATATTTTCTCTACAAATTGGAACTTCAAGAAAAGGTTTTCAAGTAGTTGGTCACTGTAGTGAATCTATCCTATATGTTTGTAATCACCATTCTAAGTTTTTCAATAATCCTTCTACGAATTTAAACTCTGAGGAAAGGTTTTCGAGTAGTCAGTGACACAATTGAACTCTCATATTTTCATACAGTTGGAAGAATTTGTAGTGCAGAAACAAAGAATCCACTACCTTGTTATGCGATAGCAATAGCAAGCACAAAATTGATGTTGCCGAGATAGCAAGAAAGCTGTCATTGAAATTGACAGATCATATTGCCAAAAATCGATGATTAGAATTCCACTTTTCCAAATCTTGCTATGATAGCAATATCTTCTCTTCTCTACAACCATATTGCTATATGCAAACAGAATCGACCTGATAAAAATTTTGAAAGGTTATTAGTCAATGACATTCATGACATAGACATATATCACATCATTATAACCTGTAACCTGAACTAACTGAAATATCTCACTAGAACTGTACTGAATCAGTCATTATGTGTTCTTTCGAAAGAATTTGATTAGTAATGCATGTTAATTGAATCAGTTCAGTCCAAGTGGAATATGTCAGTTCCAGAAGGAAAGAATATCATTATTCGCGACAGAAATAATTAAGCGTACGCCAATCGGAGTTCTTGAATACTGTCAAAGCGTTTTCATTGGTTCACATTTGTTTTTATTTGTGTTTATTGCCTTATTGGTCACATCATCAAAACAAACCGCTCAGATTCCAAGTTCTTACCGTCAGGTGGAGTGACTTATTTTCTATCGCGAATAACATCAAGGCGACTAGTTACTAAGTTCAGTGGTGGCGCAGACTAGAGGGTAGACAGGGAAAGATTTATCGGACCTCTCTACATTCCCATGCGGCCAGATTGGTAGCATTGAAGAGAAAGATGGAAGAGGAGAGAAATTTCCTCTCTCTCTCTCGTTCATGGTAGAAAAGAGCTCAATTCTGTGTGCCAGGTCTCTATGAAATCTTCGAATTTGTCATAAGTGTGTATTGAACATCACGAGTTATAATAATTGAGATGATAAATTAATAACTGTAACGCAAATGAAAATCATTCCGAGGGCCGTGTTGATATAAACTCTCCTTAGTTGAATGACTTTTCCCAACTTACCGAACATCATACAAACCTCACTCAAAGTGTTATTTTTTATTTTTTTTCAGAAGCCTTATGTCTGAAGGCCATGCGAATTCGGGTACCATCGGTCGTCAAGTCGGGCGACACCGTGACCCTTTCTTGCGAGTACGACCTCGAGCAGGTGGCGCTGTACTCTGTCAAGTGGTACCGCAACGACGAAGAGTTCTACAGGTTCGTGCCGAAGGAATCTCCTCCCTACAGGGCCTTCGCTTTGCCACACATCAACGTAGATGTAAGTACCGCATAAATTGTACTCAAATACTATGGTAACTAGGCGAAAGGTATACTACTTTACTGTTCGCACTTCACCGAAATGATGGCATGCAAGCTGAGAATGAAGAGGTATAGGAATATTTTTACCTCTAAATTGTCAATAATAACCTACTATATTATCTTCATTCCTGGAATATCAATTCATTATTATAAATTGAAAAATACCTATGTGACACAAGAAAAAACCCTTAATAGATGTTGTTGGAAGTTACGGCATGTTGCCTCAATTTCATGTCATCGTTGAGAAGCAAGTGTTAAGGAATTCACATACCTTCACTAGAGTTCCTAAATGTACTTGGCACTGCTGTTTTGGAGTTTTTTTGTATATTAGAGTACGGACACTAGACAAGCAGTAACAATCGAACATAACCACAAAATATTTTGAAGCAAATCATATGTTTTGCGAGACAAGGACAAGAATATGTTTACGTCCGTGTACTGTCAGTTCTCGCTTTTCCCATCAATTTATTTGTGGTTATGTCTGATTGTCAGTGCTTGTCATAGTGTCCGTACTCTGATATACAAGAGACGTCAAAATCAGCAGTGTCAAGTACATATAGGAACTCTAACCTCCATGCACCACTTGTAGAAGTGCGAAATCCAAACAACAAACCAACAACTATCTCAATATTAGACGATCAAATGGAAATTCTAATGTGTCTGAAGTAATGTTTTGGAAACTTCAACCTACAATTTGATCATTTTGATAAATGAGCTCTCGACGTTTTCAGTATACTAGCGCCATTGGGGGTAGATGAATTTTGGGTCAATCAGTGGCTTGATTGAGATTCATCCCTAGGAAGGGGTCTAGGACCAATACCCAATATTTATGAGGAATAGAAGCAATACGTAACTTACGTTGGTTTTGATAAATGTGATGTGCATCATTTGGTGACAATTAAACAATAAAGAACAGAGTATTGAAAACTATATGAAATAATACACACATATCAACAGGAACAAAAATTGAACTAGGAACAAAAAAACAACATAACAAGAATTAAAAATTCGACTAAATCAATTAGGTACTGTCTGTGCTTTTTTTTCTTTTGCGTTAGCACCGTAACCACGTATTTGCCAAAAAGAGATCCAACTAATACCCACCATATTACATTCTCATCGAATCTCAGGACAGGCTGGAAGTATGTAATTCATATTTACATTGTTCTAACATCCAATATTAGTTCAGAGGTTCCAACAAATTCGAAAAATTGAATTCCTGTGATATTTTCTATACTCATGTCTATATTGTTCCATTATTAGAATTTTTTACTAGATTTTTTCGGTATTTCAGACAGTTCCAGACCCTATGCTCCTTCCCTCTATTACGCCACTGGAGTCATTGTACCACTCGCCTACTGACTAGATTTTTATTTAGAACGACAATTCTTGAAGGTTTTCAAGCGCTACGCTACTGATTACTTGTGCTATGGTTACGTAAAGATGCATCAGTGACGTCAATTTGTTCATTTTCCTAAGACAAAAACAAAATTATCATGATCCAAATGTGATTTGGTATCTCTTGAACTCTAATGGCCAAAAGTCATCTGATACGAAGGGTTGTAATAAGCTATGTGAATTCCTACCCCTATTAGTCAGCCTCCCCCAGAGCTTAATCACCCTCTACGGAATTTTGTTATGAATGTAATAAATTGCTTGGGAACTGCTTTTAAAGAGCCGAATTCTTTCGGCAGAAAAGATTAATGGCTTATTCGAAACTCAGTTCAGTTTATGAATTTAATGTTTAATTGCCAAAATTTCGCGAGTGTCTCAAAAGCATATCCTGTTCAATTTGAAACTATTTAAATTGTATTTAACTTGTTGAAATCTTCGAGAGTGTTCCTCTGGAGCTGTAAATTGCATATGATAGAAACTTTATTCATGTTGAATTTCATCATGATGTATACAGTGTGTCACAGCCACCCTTCATATCCAAAGTCGGAGAAAGAACTGAAAGAACGATTATAAGCTACTACAGCTCATCTTTCAACAAAATGGAGTTCCTTCACACTCTTTTGCGAATGTACGACAATTTCTAGATGATATTTTCACAGGGAGATGGATTAGAAGGCAAGGACCACTAGAATGACCTGCTATGTCTCTTGATCTATCACTCCTAGACCTCTTTTTATGGGGATATTTGGAAACCAGAGGCTAAATCACACAACCCAATAGCTCTCTTTTTTTTATTCGGAAGTGCTCGCGAAAGATTGAACCTATAATCCCGTGGTGGAACTGCGAGCACTAAGGAGGGGCAAATATCGGTGGATCCTCCTCTTGAAAGTAAATAGATTGTAGTTCGCTGGAAATACATCTGTGGGTAAAGAATTCCACAGTGAAAATGTCCTACAGAAGGATGAGTTCTTGAAATATGTTGTTCTAGGTGTTTCAATTCTGACTGCAAATTGGTGTGAGACTTGAGCCAGTCGCGTTTGGCGAACAAAGGACATTCCAGGGGGGACAGCTGATGACAATTTAACAGAGCATCGTTAATGATAGTAGCGATAGAAGAGTGATAGGTCTGCAACGTCTCTCCGATGTTGTAAAGTTTGCAGTGATCTTGTCAGAGTTGGGTCATTGATGAGTCTGATGGCTCTTCTTTGAACCGACTCCAGCAACCTCAGGGAGTGTTTTGGAGCTGATCCCCAGACGTGCGAACAGTACCCAAGGGATGGTCGAATCTGGGCTTTGTAGAGTGTCATAAGCTGTTGTGAAGTGAAATACTTCTTCGCGCGGAAGAGGAATCCCAGCTTTTGAGAGGCAGCTCTGGCTATATTGGCAACATGGTCATGCCAAGATAAACTGTCAGATACCGTGATGCCGAGCATTGATAGGGATGAACTGATTGGTAAGGTTCTTCCAGCCATAATCGTCTCAGGACCCGCACGGTTAGCCTTCTTAGAAAAAACTGTTGCTTGAGTCTTCAAAGCGTTGAATTGTACGAGGTTCAAATTGCCCTATTGTTGGATCCTTCCCAAATTGTCGTCGACGGTCTGGATCCGTTGCAAACGTAGGCCTTGTTTGGTTGCTGCGAATATTGATGTATCAGAGGAATATGATGCTATAAGAGTGGTATCGTCAGCGAAACTGAAGAGAGGGTTGGTAGTCATGTGCAACAGATCGTTGGTTGATATGTAGTAAGAGAAGCGTTGGGGATAGAATAGAGCCCTGTGGTGGTTGATGATCTACGCAGAAGAATAATTATTGTACAGTGACTCTAGGAATGCTGAGAAATTTGACGAGACATTTCGAAAATAGCTTATGCTTCTGTATGGAACTGGTTGGTTCATATTTCAGGAGAAAAAAGAAGAAATACGTCTTTTTTTATGTATGACAAATTTGGTATTCATCATACAGGACGTGGAAAGAAATTCTGTATTGAGGAGACCTTATTACGAATCTGCGATTAAAGGTCTATTAAAATAACAAGTTTCCATCGTTAAAGTTTTAACCCCTTGTTTGGGTGGAAGTATTGAAAAGAAATATTCTCAGATGAAATTATGAATATTATAAAGGAATACATTGAGAATTCGCATTCTCTATGTGATGAAAATAATATCAATTCTCTGTCTATATATTTTGTTCTTCTCATGTTATTATTGTCATTCGTAAAAGTACCTAGATCTACGGAAAATATACTTTGCTTCACATAGGCTCTTATAGAACACAACTCGTTACTTCCGTAGAATCTGGGGAATAATTCATGCGAAATATTCCATAGTTTTAACGAGAATTTTCCTTTTTGTTATAAATGTGATACATTTTCACATGTATCTTCACCGATTCTGATCGAACAGCTGCTTTATAGGCTCTATGGTATCACACGGGAAGTGATTATAGGTGAATTATAACGGTATTGGTGTTATACTACCCCTATAGCACCCGCCCATAACCCTATCCTTTACGAGTTTTGCTAGAGTTTTGTTCAACGAAAGGATGTGTTGTTGTCTGGGCATTGGCATTCTCCATTTATATACCTAGATATTTTATTAACTCTAGTTTTTTATCTATCCTATATATTTGTCCTTGCTATTCGGCTCAAACATATACTGTATTGAATAAATCGTCCTGTATATATCAACGAACGCTTGCGGTTAGCTCGCTCGTCGACTTTGCAGCAGATAACCTTGAATGGCCTTGAAAAAGTAAAAAATCGCAGAATGAACCTTGAAATTTCTTATGGAGATTAACAAAAGCAAAAGTGGTTAAATGACCGCCATATCGGCATAGCACCTCTACTCGTTCATAAATGACTCCTAAGCTATCAAGATATTCGATAAGCACAATGTTAATGACTTTCTCTTGAACATATGACAACCTCTACGGCTTCGGCCATTTGTCATGTCCTTCAAAACTGGCAACATCGAACGTTCTGACATTGTGACGTCATCCAATCCTTGTGCAGGAATATATTCGTATTCAATTCAAACATGCTATGCGTGTGATTCATGATTGCCGTTTGAAGCTCATCCATCTCACTGCATGTCTCTGATATCCCAACATTCTTGAACAAAGCGTTAGGCGACACAACTTCTCGCATTTTAATGTTTGACCTCGACACCATTCTGATCACAAATTGTTGTCTCACGCTTCACAGATGTCAAGATTGAGTCGGGTCGAATCTTTCCATGGAAGTGGATGGTTCCAGTCCGAGAGGGGTTAATCGATTATTGACGAAATTGACATTTTGATACGACAACTGACGGACATATCTGAACAACAACAATGGGAAATGATTCAAGGGCATCCATATTGAATGTGAACGAAGGATTCCTCTTTTGTCAGTCAGAAGTTATTAATTATTCATGTTTCAAGCTTACTTCCTACACTGAGGAAAATTTTGCTATCAGAGTTTTTGCTGAGATATTCCTTGCTACCATTACAAAAAACTCTATTACCGTTAAACATTTTCGAATATACGCAGCACATTGAAATCCTATAAGCAATACCGACTTTACT